GAGCCTCTACTGAGAGGAATTTTTTCAAAAAATTGTTGAGCTTCTACTGAGAGGAGCTTTTTCAAGATGTTTAAAGTTGTTGAGCCTCTGCTTAGAGAAGCCTTTTCAAGACAAGATTTTAAAATTATTTAGCCTTTGCTTAAATAAGCCTTTTAAATTTTCAAAAATATTATTGAACTTCTGAAGCCTTTTAAAAAAAAAAATTTCAAACAAAATGGTTGTTTGTTTGTCTTTACTTTATTCTTGATTCTTAGAAATAGGCAAAGAGGGGCAGCTATAAACAACATTTTTTTTCATTATGATTATCATTATTATTTTTTTTATTTTTTTTATTTCTTTTTTTTATTTTTCCTTCTTCTTTCTTTCTTATCCGATCCAAATCTAGTGCATTAAATGCACCTCTCTAAAATCCAAAATCACTACCGACAGTATCCGACACCCTACCTAACGCGTGAATATCAGTCACCAAAAGTTTATCACACCAGTTGAAAATCTAATAATTGAATCCCAAAAGAGATCTGAGATTTGAATCCCAAAAAGCTCTATAAATAGAGTTTGTTACCTGTAAGAAAAATAAAGGAAGGGAATTGAAAAAAAACTGCCAAGAAAATTACAAAAAAAAAGCATTCTTTAAAAAAAAATACCTTCCAAAAAAAATAAAAATGGCAAAAAAATTTAGAAAACAGCCCTGAAATGGGGAACCTAGCGCCAACATAAAAAAAAAATGACACACAAACACAACAAAAAAAATTTATGGTCGAAACTTCAGGCCATATCTGCATCATTTGGGACAATTTCAAGTGAAATAGAAGCTAGAATTGGGTTCAGGGAGTCGAGGAGAGCATTTTAGTGTTTTTTTAATTTTTTCAACTGTCAATGGTGGCCGGCACGGCAACTGATGATCGACTGACTGGCCTAGAGAGAGAGGCTCTAGGAATGAAAGAGAGTTAGAGAGAGAAAGAAAAATGAAAAAATGACAAAAAGAGAAAAATTTTGACTTTTATAGAAATTACCAAAGACCAAAATGATGCCGTTTCAATAATGCCCAAAACGACGTCGTTTTGAGTCCTGAGGATTCATGCGTCAATCCTTGACTTGACCTGACTTGAGGTTCGCGCACCCGACCAGGTGACCTGCTTCTCCTTCACCCTTTAACCAATCCAGCTGAATGGATCCAGACCGAACCGAACCGTTTTTGAACCACTGAACTAGACCGAACTGTCGGACCAAATTGCCTGTTGACTGGACTGTTGATTAGTCCAGTTTAGGTAAAAAAAAATTTTTTTTGAAATTTTTAAAAGATTTTTTATATATTATTTTTGTTATCTTAATTATTATTCTTAATATTTATGCATATTAAAATGTTAAAATTTACCAATAAATTTTTTGTTGTTTTATAATAATAATAATTAATATATAATATATAATATAATATAATAAAAGTTTTTGATAATTTTGAATAAACTTTATAAAATAATTGATAAAAAATGTTAATTAAATAAAAATAATACAAAATTAATAAAAAAATGAATAAAGAAAAAATTTATCCAATAATGGGATTTAAAGGTACTCGAGTAATGATGCCTATGAAATCTCTAGGTGAGAAAATTTTTTTAAAATACTATCAGTGTATTGAAGTATTTATAAAAAGTTTTTCAATACAATAAAATTTTTCTTTTTTGTTAACATTAAATGAAAATTAACTAATTTTTTAAAAATAATAGTAATAAAAATAAGGAAAAAAAAATTTTACCCAATGATAGGATTCTAAAAGTATTCCTAGTAGAGATGCTCTTAGAATCCATATGTGAGAAGATTTTTTTTTAAAATATTACCAGTATATTGAAATATTTATGAAAAATCTTCAATATAATAAAAATTCTTTTGTTTTCAAAGTTTAAATTAAAAATAAATATTAAATAAAACAGTTAATAAAAATTTCTAAAAAAAGAATAAAATGTGTGCATCAACGTGATAATATTTTACATTGCATGCATGACATAGTTTTTTATGAAAAATAAATTTAAGTCTACGAATATGAGATTCTAAGGTATTCTAAGAAGAGACGCCTAAGAAATCTTTAGGTGAGAGATAGTTCTTTTAATGTTACCAACATATTGTAACATTTTAAGAGTTATTTCAATAAAAATGTTTTAATTTATTTTTCTCGAATAAAAATAAATAATAACTAATAAAATTTTAATAAAAAAATCAAAAAAAATTATTTTTCAAACACAAAAAAATGAGACTATTTTGTTATTAAAATCAAAGGATAACACGTAGTTAATTGATATCGTTTTTAAATGGGCGTTGTAGGGGTGCTAATCATTCCCCACACATAACCGACTCCCGAATCCAGACTGTTGCGCAGACCCTAAAATTATTTTTTTAATAAATTTTAATAAATTTTAATAAATTTAAGATTTCATTAAAATGATATGCTTTAATAGGTGACCAATCGCACCTAGCTAAAAAAGATTAATGGCGATTCTGTTATTTTTTATTTTATTTTCAAATTCGTCTGGCGGACACAAAATCATTATGACAACTGATAGTATTTAAAAAAATCTTCTCACCTCAAAATTTCGTAAGTATCACTACTTTGAAGTACCTTTGAATCTCATTGTCGAATAAAAATTTTTTTTCTTACATTTTTATTAGTTTATAAGGTTTATTCTAAAATTAACTAAATTATCAAAAAAATTTTATTATATATTTCATCATTTACTTCTTTTAATTGTTATTATAAAACAACAAAAATTTATTTTGGTAAATTTAAACATTTTTACATGCATAAATATTAATAATAAAATTTTAAATTACAAAAATAATATTTAAAAAAATAAAAAAATTTAAAAAATATTTTTTTACCTGAACCGGACCAGTCAACGATTCAGTTAACCTACGGTCTGATCCAACAGTTCGGTCTGGTTAGGTCAGTTCGGCATCAGCGGTTTGGGGATGGTTCGGTTTGGGTTGGTTTGATGGATCGATTAGAAGCTGAAGGAGAAGTGGGTCATCGGGTTAGGTATGTGGACTCCGGGTCAGGTCACGGGTTGACACAGAAATCCTTGAGGGTTAAAACGACATTGTTTTAGTCTTTATTGAAATAACGTCGTTTTAGCTCTTGTAATTTCTATAAAAGGCCAAATTTTTTTTAACTCATTTCTCTTTTTCTTCACCCAAAAATAAAACCAAAATTCTCTAAAAAAAAAAAAAAACTTTAGGCTGGTCAATTCCAAGAATCGACAGCTACTCCGTCGATCGATTGCCGTGCCACAAGTCGTCGAACGCTTTCGTCGGTGATCAAAAAAATCTAAAAAAAACTTAAATGTTCCTCTCAATCTTCAAAGTCCAGATCTGAGTCTAGTTTTATGAAAATAGGCTTCAAACGACGTAGATTTGCTTGAAAGGTTTGGCCAAATTTTTTTTTTTGTGTTGTGGTTTTTTTTTTTTTTTTGTACTGGTGCTAGGTTCCCCTATGTTGGGGACTATGGTTTTTGGTTTTTTTTTTTTTTTGACAGAAAGCTTTTTTTTATTCTAAAAACTTTTTGGCAAGTTTTTTGCTTTTGCAAAACTTTTGTTTTTTTTTTTTCAATCAATCGTTCCCCTTTTTTGTGCAGGCAATAAGCTCTATTTATAAAACTTTATGGGATTCAAATCCTAAATTTTTAAGTCAAAATTTACGCTATCAAATTAGGCAAGGTGTCAGGCGACTGTCGATGGCTAGGATTTTGGACTTTCGGGGGAGTGCATTTAATGCACTTATATTTTTGTCAAACTAAAAGAGATAAGGAAAGAAGAAGAAGGTAAAAGAAAGAAAGAAAAAAAATAAAATACAAATGATGTTTACAAATACATTGTTAAATTAATCCACAAATTTTAAAAGATTTGGATGAAGCATCATTTTTAGGTTAAGTTCAATAAAAAGAACCGGCAGAAATGAAATTATTTGTTTAAAATTTGACACTTAATTATTATATATTTACTTTTTAATTATCTTCTATTTGTTTTTGTTGATTGTAATTATAAAATCAATTAATTAATTATAAAATTATAATAAAAAATAGTAGGTGAATTGTTTTCTGTTAATGTTATATCTAACACCTTTGACCATGTTTTCTCTTATCTTGCCTTATGTTTGTTTGTTTTTTTTTCTTTTTTTTTGGTACTTTTCAAAATTAAAAAACGAAAGCAACAGTCTTCAATCACATTTTCACTTATCTTGCCTTATGTTTGTTTGTTTTTTTTTTTTTTTGGTACTTTTCAAAATTAAAAAAAGAAAGTAACAGTCTTCAATCACATTTTTACTAATCTTCCCTTTCTTCTTCTAAACTCGTAGGTAGATTTGTTTGGTATTATATAAAATATTAATAATTTATATATTTTTATTGTGTTTTATATAAAAATTATATATTATAATTCGTATTATACAAAAATATAATTTTTTTTATTTTTTAAAATTTTTTTATAATTTTTATTAAAATTTTAAATCATATCATTTTTTATTTTTTATTCGTATTATATTATATAATCATATTTTAATTTATCAAATCTAGTCGAAGTAACACGTTTCAATCATCAAGAACTCAAGGAATCAAACTAAAATGATAATAAACAGGTTCCATTACAGCGTAGAATTTCGAATGCTGAAAAAATTAGTAACAGAGAGCGAGAACGAGAGGAACCGTTTGGCAAGATAGAAAGTGAGAAGGAAAAGGAAAGAAATTTCCCACTCAAATATTGGGTAAAGCTTGGCTTTGGGTGCACTTTGGCTCTCCCTCTGTAACAAAACTTTCCCTTTTTTCTTTTTTTCACTCCATCTGAGTCAGAAGTGGTCTATGCTTTGTTTAGTAAATCATTAAGAAGAAAATGGACCCAATCCTCGATATGATTACTAAATACTGCTCCCATATTGTAACTAGAAAAAAAACCAAATGTTTCTTTTTTTTTACTACAAATTTAACTGTTAAAATTGGATAAACAACATGATATTGCTATTAAAAATTTCTAGGGATGATGGTTTTTCTTGATATATAATTAGTATCAATCTTGTCTTCTTTTGTCACTTGTTGGGTAAATGAAATGGGAACCAAGCAAAGCCCTCTGCTTCTTAAATCCTGTAGCTTCTTTCCAATTTCCTGTTGATATGCAATTTTATAAAATAAGAATTTAATTAAAAAAAAACCTCAATGGCTATATCGTACAAAGGAGGTTGTAGCTCTGACTTCATCTAAGATGTTTTTTGATACAATGTTATTATTTACCTGTCGATGAATTGCTCTTAGACTGGTATATGAGCTGCTCAGCATCTGAAACAAATTCTGTGGTGAAAGTAGAAAATTTTAAATGAGAAATTAATCCCAAAAAAAAAAAAAGTAAGAAAGAAGCTTTAATTTGAATTTGAGCCATGAATAGGTAAGGAGTTTAAAATTAATATACCTGAATTTGTTCTTGCAGAAGTTTGATGTAAAGAGCAGCCTCTTGGAGGACTGAAGCAGTATCAGTCTGCAATAAATTCAATCAAACCAGACCATTTATTCTTTTTATTTGCCAAAAGACAAAAGATAATAAATTTTAATGTGGAAATGGACATTGGACCGAACAAAATTATCAGATTAAACTAATAAAGATGTTTCTTTTTTTTTTTTTTTAATTTAATGTTGGATTTATTTATCATCTTAAAGTACAATTAAAACTGACCTTTCCATATGGGGAAACCAACTTTTGAAGAGCTGTAATCTTGTCACTTAGCCTTTGGCTTCTTCTCACTGGCATATGCAACTGTAAACAAAAAAAGAGGAAAAACTTGAAACTTGATTTTTGTTTCCTTTGTAACTACATTACAAAATTCAATAATTTTCATTAGATACTGCAAATTCCATACCCTGCAATCTTTGATATCTGTTAATGATTCAGTGATTTGATGAGGTTGCTGTTGTTCAAAAGATGACAATTTCTTTCTCTTGTTATTCTTCCACTCATTCAAAGAATCAGTCCCATTTAATGGCTTTTGGTCATTGTTAACCTCAATCCCACGTTTCCTTCCATTTTGTAAGTTCTGAATGTCCTAAGAAAAATGAAACCAACAATTTTTGAAGATCGAAAACATGACTTTCCCCTTATTCCTATAGTCTGAAACAAAGGGCATGATCAGAGTTTATCGTACCGGTTCAAAGAGGGGAATTGCTAGCTTGTTGCTAAGTGACATGGACTGCTGAAAATTGTTGTCACAGTTGGAGCTACCACACTGATAATCTAACACCAAACAAAGGGTATTTTTACCTTTGTTTTTTTTTTTTTTTCACTACTCTCGCATGTAAAATTTCATATATGAACCAAATAGAAAATGTGTCATAGAGAAAAAAGGAAATGTTAGGCTGAGACTGAACGGAGCTTAGCTCAATTGCTTCGTGCAGTCACTTTTAAGAAATGATATTGAGCAGGTATGAAATTCGAATCCCAACACTTGCCAACCCTACCCCTAGGTTACCGTCTATTTTTGTGCTAAAAAAATGGTAGGCTGAGATTCAGAAAAGTCAGAAATTCCTGCAAAAAGTTGTGATAGAGATATTAAACAAACCTTGTAAATGAGAGTTAATATGGGATTGGTAAGGAATAACGAAGGCCCCATCTCTGAGCTGGTTGTCATTGTTGTATATTTTTGATTCCAGAGAAAAGGTATCCCCATGGACATCTCTGCTAAAAATGTATACAAAAGGAACAGGTTATAAAAATAGTCAAACATTTAATTTGGATTTTTTCAATATATAAGTTCTTCAACTGCAAGAAAAAATATTCCCCTTACAACTAAAGTTAGCCATTCATGAATGAAGTGGTATCCCACCAGCACTTCCTCAGTCTTGACATTGAATTCAGGACAAATGGAATAAAGTTTGACAACCATGATGTAAATAATTTATGCTGCCATGATGAAATTACTTGATCCTAAGAACTTATCGATGTCCGGCTGTAATTAAGGGATATTTTGATCTGATCATTTGAAGAAAAACATGGTTGCATAAAAGTTTTGTATTCAATTTTACAGATGGAAGATGAAATTAAATTTTCATAGTTAATTGTTCCAAGTGTAATGAGTTCTTATATATCTTCTTCTGTTTCTCCCGTCAATGGAAACTGATAAGCTTAGCTGATGCAAATGATTCCCTTTTATTGCACAAACTAAATTTTGGTTAAGACAGAACATATACCCTTTGTTTTCCATCTGCGTAAGGACATCCAGACATGGCGTCTGAACTTCATTGTTTCCTAAAAAAGAAATAAATAAATAAATGAAATTGAGAGCAAAAATAAATATAAAACTAGAAATTAATGATTACCATAGCATATAAGTCCCTGGGGATTAATCTTATAGGGTTTAGAATGATCATTATACCAATGTTGTAGAACTGTGAGGACACCGGCGAAAGAAGAGCATTCCTCATCTTCGACAATTGATCAGATTTTCCTTCAAAGAAATTAATCCCTCAAAATTTTCAATGCTCAAAGATCAGAAGCTGGATTCCCCCTAGCTTTGAGTCCAAAAGCCTATACATAATATATAGCGAAGTTCAAAACAATCAGACAACTTAGGAAAGAAAGATTGTTGGAACTGTCATGTCTCAAACCTGAGAATTCAGGATATAACAATGCCATATACTCATAACACAAATCATACTAAACCGAAAATCAAAAACATCACAGCAAAATGAAAGCAAGGCCAAAAAAAAAAGGGTTTCCTTCCCTATCATGCTAAAAAAACTACTCATGATAACATGCTGATAAAAATTCTTGTCTTTGCATAACAGCAAAGGTAGTAGTCTCTCACCTCTGATCCGAGCCGATGACGAAGACCGAATGAAAAAGAGTTAAACTCTTTGGTTTGTAGCAAATGAAGAGGGAGATTAAATTCAAGCTATATGGTAAGATTTTAAAAGGGTTTTCTTTTGAGTGCAGGAACAGTTCATTTCCTTTCACAGAGAAAATTTGAGGTCACAGCTTATATATTGCATGAAAATTATATGAAACGTCTAAGGTGACTCATCAAAGGATGGAAAAAAAAAAAAAAAAAAACCTTTATATATATAAGTAGGAGGGGCGGCTCTTCTTTGCTGGCAAAGTTATTATCAGTTTAATTTCGCTTTCAAGTTAAATTTTGACTTGATTTGATTAATGAGAAGTGGTTAATTATTATAATCATGATTAAATTATTGTAAAAAATGTTGGTCAAAACTTAAACTTGTTGAATCAACTCAGATATAAACTCCGTTGTAGGCATGGCTAGTTGGCAATAAGCTCTGAGTTCAATAGGGTATTAATTACTCAAAATTGGCTATAAAACAGCCTTAAAAAAACCAAAACTATCTATAATTTTAACTTTTTCCCCTTATATTCCCACAAGAAATGTAGTTATTGAAATGAAAAAAAAAAAAGACTAATGAGATCACTTCATTGAAAATGATTCTGATTTATTTTATTATTTAATTAAATAGATTTTAAAGCTAGCATATACTTTGAATTCGTACGAAAAAAAGTTATTAATCGATAATAATCGAGTAGGATTGCTTCTTGATTTGAACTAAGAAATACTTTAGACATGATGCTATAATGTTTAATTATAATAGCACATTCAAACTGTTCAAATATGTATTTATTTTTGTAAGAAATTAATAGTGCCAGACAAAAGTTATTGTTTGAAGGGTTATATTTCTAAAGGAATATAGGAATTGAGCCTAACATGCGTACTTCAAATGGATATAAGCCATCAAAGCAAACTGGTTAACTTAGTTTCCTATCTCTATCATTTGCTTAAAATAGTGGAATCATTTACTTGTATTACTCTTTTGGACAGCATAATTCATCTGATAATTAATGTCACACTTTCTTTTGCTTTAATTGGGAACATTGGCTGAATATCATACTTTGGCTATGAATAAAATGTATGCATCACATTGAGATTTTACTTCATACCCTAATATGGCAAAGGGTATTTTATTTTTGGGAAATTAAGTTGTTGTGAATTTAAGTGAATTAAGACAAAGGTGGGGGAAATTAAGTCCTGGCATTGATGCAAATCAATACAAAATTATCACATAATTGGGAAAACCATGAGATGAAAATTGTGTTGGAAAGAAATGTGGTATCTTTATTTATTATTATTATTATTATTTTGGTTTTTTTCAAAAGTAGAAAATTTTCTTTAGAATCATGAATTGACTAAAATTTTTAATCTGATTCTCTTCCGTTACTTTTCAATATATCTTTAATTACTATTTACAAGTTTGATTTCTGTAATTCATGAGTAAATTTTACATTATTTTTTTAAATTTCCAAATCAAACCTAAGAAATTCATTTTCAACCATTTTTTTGAATTATGGGCTAAGCAGCTAAGGCACAAAAATAAGAAACACCGAGTTGAGCACATCAACTCAGTGAACTATGAAATTGTATATAATGAAATAAATTAGTAATAAATTCTGACCAAAAAAATAATTATGATCATACCCTTCTTTTTGTCTTCCTTAATTACAAGGTTCTTCTAGGTTGTTTTTAACCAAATGCAAACAACCAAGTAAGACTCGAAAGTCAACTAGCAAGTTTTCTCTTTGTCTTCTATATACATTTTGCATATATTTTTTAACATATAAGTAAAATCCTTGAACAATTAACACATGTAACAATGTCAATGCGAAGATAATTTATATTTATATATTTTTTTATGTATTCATGAAATCGACCTAAATTACAATAACAAAGTCGATGTTATCATATACTTGTCGAGTTTATAATTTTTTATTTACATTCAAAGAATCAAGTTCGAATTTTTTTATCGAGTCGATGTCTTAAAAATTTTGTCTTACATTTTCTTGTGTATATTGTTTCTTTAATCTCTTTTCTAGTGTAAGAACATTAATTTAATTGTCGAAGTCAACATGTCTTATGTTTAGACGACATTAGTCCTAATTTCTTAATTTTATGACAAGTGGATTTATTAGGATGGTTTGGGATTTTTCATCAATTTTAAACCCATATATTTAATTAATGGTCAAATAATTAATTCGCTTAATTTAATCCAATATTGTAACATCTCACTAGCATTAAAAAATTTTTAGAAATTTCTTTTATTTCCTTAATTTAAAGAAAATCTTTACCCAAAAAAAAAGATTGTTAAAATTTTAATTAAAAGAATTATCTATCGTGTAAAAAATATTTTTATTTTTATACCAATTTATTTTGGACAAAAAAAAAGGGAAAAAGAGCATTCATAACCCTAAGTTGATGGATGTATTGAAAGAATAGAATCAGAAAACAGCAAGAGGAACTATGGAAAAGGAAAAGGATTCTTAATGAAAAGGCAGCATTTTTTTTTCATGATTAAGGCAGGATACAATATATTTATTTAATTAATTAGGTGTATTTATTGGATAAGATTTAAAATAAAAAAAAATTGTATGGTGATGGATCATCAATGATAATAAAAATATTTTCTAGGTCAAAGAAGATTGTCAGTCAGGTCTTGTAATCTCTCTAATAATCCCCACATATATGATATTTTCGTGGGTCAAATAAAAAAAAAAGTGAATGAATCTTCAACATGCAAATTGATTGTTAGAATAAATATTTAATGGATTTTTTATATTACATTTTTCATAAATTAATTAAAGAATTAAAATCATAATGTGATGCCATTTGATCTTTTGATAACAGTAAAAGTCATATTTCTTGGCCTGCAGATCATTGATTCTTTAAGTAAAACATTATCAAATATATATTTACAAACTACAATATTATTCTAATTTTATGGACTGCATGAAAATTAAATTAAGATGAGTTTGATAACGTTTTACTTAAAGAATCAATGATCTGCAGGCCAAGATACATGATTTTTACTGTTATCTAAAGATCAAATGGCATCACATTATGATTTTAATACTTTAATTAATTTATGAAAAAAATTGGATTAAAATTATTGAGAATAATAACTCAAATCTCATAAAAGATTTATTTGTGATTAGTCATATATTACTTGATAGATAAAAAAACTTGTAAAAGAAGAATTCTAAGAGAAAAAATTTTTTTAATAATAACTTAAATCCCATAAGAGATGTGTTTGTGATTAGTCATATATTACTTGATAGACAAGAATTCTTGCAGAAAAAGAATTATAAGAGAAAATTGATTCTTAATAAGCAAGTTTGATTTGCATAAAAAGAATTTTAAAAGGAAAAGAGATTCTTAATAGTAAGTTTCTATGGTTATAAATAGGTGAAGTATCTACAAAATTAGATATGAGAAAAAGATGTAAGAGAGTTGTAAGGTTTTATGTGATAAACAACTCATAACACTACTGGAAATTTACATTTTATGAGTGTGCATTCTTGTATGTTTGTAAGTAGATTAAAAGAAACTGAGAGGGTCTACATAGGTATAGTGCATGTGGGCACTATTGGAGATTTACATTTTATGAGTGTATATTCTTGTATGTTTATAAGTAGACTAAAAGAAACTAAGAGGGTCCACATAGGTATGGTGCATGTGAGTGGACTAGAGAAGATTGAGATGGTCTACATAGTTATGATGTATGGATGTATATGAGTATGTGTTTGGTCACATGGGTTTATGTTTATTTGGATTGAGAATATTTCGTAAGACTAGAGGAGATTGAGAGAACCTATGGGTATTGATTATTGAGTGAGATTGATTTGATGTATGTTTATAATTCTTTATAACTAGTGGATCTTGTTTCTCATCCGTAAATAAGGTCGGTTGAACTGAACCATGTTAAATTATTATCTTTTGTATGCTTGATTAATTGTTTGATTATGTTACCACTGGTGTGATTGGACTAGGGCTTTTTAGCTTAACAAGTGGTATCAGAGTCGCGATAATTCCTAACGAGTGATATCAAAGCTGATAGTTCAAGACATGGGAAGAGGTAAGTCTAGAGAAGCTTTATTCAAGAGAAGAGTTCGAGTTTAAGTTTTGAGGATTGATGATCCGTTTACGTGAAGTATGAAGACACACAAGAGAAGATGATTGTGAAACTTTCATTGCAAGTGGAGCTAAGCATGTTTAGCATGAAAATAGATGATTTGATAGAATTTGAGTCAAGGTGGAGATTGTTGAGAATAATGACTCAAATTACATAAGAGATTTGTTTGGGATTGGCTAGATATTGCTTAATGGACAAAAAGACTTATAGAAGAAAAATTCTAAGAGAAAAGAGATTCTTAATAGGTAAGTTTGACTTGCATAAGAAGAATTCTAAAAGAAAATGGATTCTTAATAGGCAAGTTTATATGGTTATAAATAGGTGAAGTTTTTACAGGGTTAGGTATGAGAAAAATATATAGGAGAGTTGTAGGATTTTATAGGATAAATTTCCCATAAAATTACTGGACGTTATATTTTATATGTTTATGAGTGGATTAAATGAGATTTAAAGGATCCACAAAAGTATGATGCATATGAGTGAACTATAGGAGATTGAGATGGTTCACATATGTATAATGTATAGGTGCATATGGGATATGTATTTGGTTGTGTTGAAATTATGCATATGAGTTTGTGTTTGTTTTGAGTTTAGAATACTCCGTAAAATTAGAGGAGATTGAGAGAGCTTATGGGTATTGATTATTGTAATATTGATTTGATATATGTTTGTAATTATCTACAACTAGTGGATCTTGTTTTTCATCTGTGAACGTAGGTCAGTTGGATTGAACCACGTTAAATTGTTGTCTCTTGTGTGTTTCATTAATTATTTGATTATAATTTCGCTGATGTAATTAGATTGTGATTTTTTAACCTAACAAAAATAACTAATTAATTAACTACAAAACATCTATAATCAAAGATAATGACTTTGATTGCTAGAAATCATCGAGAGATTATAAAAAAATAATTTCTCATAAATTCGTAACAGAATAAATAAATCCAAAAGCCCTTTACGGTTAAAAAAAAGAAAGACTTTGGTCTCGGGTTCTGAAAAATGCAAATCAGCCATTAGAAGCTGCAGCATCATATCTTCACCCGAGGAAAAAAAATGTGGATTTGCTTTTGCCATTTTCCTGCCCTGTTAGTCACATATTAAACTTGCACATGGGGCAATTTATTTGCTTGCTGCATGCAACTATTTGAGTAAATCAATAAATCATACAGCGTTTTGGGGCTTTACTGAGTTGTTGAAACTCAACATGGTAATTATATTAGTTTCCAAATATTCCTGCCAGCTTAATCATATCAAAATCATAAAATCTGATATCAACCTTTTGATTCTGCTTTCATTTTTTCTTTTTCTTTTAAAACTTTGATGTGAGTTTCTGCTTTGTAGATCCATCGAAAATGATTAATCCACAAAAAGTATTCAGAAAAAATGAAAAATAAAAACAGGTTAAAAATATATGAAAGTGAGGATCACCCAACTTGAGTCTCAATTTTGTGTTGGGAATTGGGGCTTTATCTTCATATCTTGTGCTTCCTGCCTGGGAAAGTAATCATTAAAAACACCTACACCAATACAGCAAATTTGGGAAAAAAAAAAAGAAAAATTCTTTGGATTCTTTTAACCAATCAGAATTTTCAAACAGGAAAATCTTCTCTTAGCAATAATCCCATTAGTTTCTTGTTTAAAGTGTAGACTTTTTCCAATAAAAAAGAGTTTTGTTTTTAATTACTAATTAATCAAACACTAAACAAAAATATAAAAAAAAAATATAGTATGTTGAGCATCTATCTATAAATAAAAAAGTACTAAGAAAAATGCAAAAAAAATAAAAAATAAAATAAAAAGATAAATCCTTACATTAAGATGGCTTAAACATAGTAATAACAATTGTATCTGAAAATAAAATACTAGTACATTAATAAATATTGCCAAAGGTTCGTGGTTGCCCTAATGTTATATAGAACAATTAAACCATCATGATGACTTAACCTTGAAAGAAGATTAATCCAATCCCTCCATTATTATTTCACAGCAGCTGCTTCCTTCCACCATCATCATTATTGCTAGAGAAAACTAGCAATAAACTCCATTGAAATAGCAGAAGAAAGCTAAGCCAAAGCTGAGGGAGGGAATTTGATATATAAATGGAAGAGAAAATTTTCCCAGAAAGGCCTTTCATGGGGGAGCAATTGATTGCTTTTAAATGGAGGAGGGGGAGAGGATCTTCTCAGCATATACTTAAAGCATATATAACTTTTTTTTTTTTTTTTTGGGTTTGCTTTTGCTGATGTTTTCTTCTTCATTTCACTTTTTCTTTGTTGGGGATTTAAAAAAAAAAAAAAGACAACTGTAGATTTGATCTTTGTGGAATCTGCCTAAGGTTTTTTCATGGCTTTAGTGGGTTTGTTGTTCCCAACTTTTCTTTGTTTTCACTATAATTCAAACATCAGCCCAATTTCAAGTATCGAAACTCAAATTTTAAATTTATTCGATGACATATCTTTAAAATAAAAATACTTGACATATCTTTAAAGTAAAATATGAACCAATTAAAAAAAATTATACATCCATTATTAAATAGAATGTTCCAGCGCATATTAATTTCGTATATACTGAGTGAAATTAAAAAAAAAAAATTGTAAGTTGAATCAATGATGATAAAGACAAAAAAATTTTCTTCTTTAAATCGTTTTTATTTACAACTCATGTCATTATTTCCATTACTACATTTTTTAACCAGATTCTTTTATTGTTCAACATTCTATTTTATCATGTGAGTGAATGAGAGAAATAGATAAACTATAATAAATGAATAAGCAATATTGTAATTTAAAAATAAATACTTGTGAATTTTTTTATTATACATGTGAAAGTTTTAAGTGTAATATTTTATGAGAATTCACGTCTAGGAAAGTAATTAAAATATATTATTTTATATAATATATGTGACCTAAATAAAAAAAAAATTCAAGATTTATATTCAAGTCTGATAACTTTTAAATATATAAAAAAATCCAAATTACTCATATCTTTTGTAATAAAACATTTTAATGAAAATTTAAAGCACTTTTTTTTATTATATTTTATAGATTCCTTAGTAGAACAACTAAGCTTGATTTTTTTGTTCTTTGTGTAGAACCATTGGTCTGCCACATTCATTGGTCTCCCACTAATCTCACTATACACATAGCCCATATGCCAATGTTTATAATCTAAAAAATATTGACAAAAAAATTCTAAAATATATCAGCAAAAACAAAAATTCAATGTCAATAATTGTTGATTTGTCAATTAAAGTGTTAAATTTTTAATTTTAGTGATTATAATATAATTTTTAATAATTTTAAATATTAAAAAAATTTAAAAAATTATAATTTTTTTTTAATTTTTGGAAAGTTATTAAAAATTAAATGTTAAATATAAATAAATTAAAAAATCATCAAATTTACATGATGATATTTTATGTCATTGTTAGTAGGTGAGAGAAGTAATGTGGTCATTCTTTATAGTTAAGAATCACATGCAAGAAATGACCCAAAATGCAGGATCATTGATGATTGAATTGAATAATTAATAATTCTTCGAGAATTTAAAGGCCCATAGCAATTTCAAAATCAAAGTTTTAAGCCCATTTCTAGCCCTTGCTACACCATGATTTAGGGATTGTAGCACCTTATTATTTCTAAATAATTTTCCTTTTTTAAGGAATTCTAAAATAGTTTTCTCAAATTCATAAGTTCAATTCCATAAGAATTTGGAAAAAAAAAATTATCACATTCACAAATAGCAAAATTTTTAAGTTTTATGAACAAAATTAAAAAAATAATAATAAAAAAGAAATAAAGAATAATTAAAAGATACAAAATGTATTAATCTTTTAATTCCATTTATGAAATTAAAAATTTCACTATTAATATAAAAATTAACTCCACTATGATTAATATAAAAAATTAACTCCACTATGTTTTAAGCATTCAAAGTTATCATAAACTTTCTTAAAAAAAAAAAAATCCACTAAAGCATTATCATAGACAAATTTAGCAATTTTTTTTTTCAAAATTAATGTTTTAATAACAATAAAAAAAATAGGTTCTTGATTCATTGAGAGATTGCTGGAATTTGAAATAGTAAAGGTTTTCAAAATGTATTTTTATTGATTAAATTAAAAACTAACTATACATCATATTTTTTATTGTAATTAAATTTATAATAATTCTTCAAATTTGTTTCTTTTTCTATCTTCTTTATCTAGTTTAAAATTTAAAACTACTTCTATCCCCCAAAAACTAAAACTATTTAAATTAATTTTTTAACATATTTGATACTATCTCTAAAAAGAACTTTATATTCATTTTTTAATTTAATAAATTCAATATGGATAAAAGAAAAAAAAAACCTTTAAATAAAACATTCAGCATAAGAAAAAATCCCATGTGGACAATCCTATATAAACAAAATCTTTCAACCAATCACCATGCAGAAACCGAACGTAACACGTATCAAAAAGTGAAGAAACAGGAAATAAGGAAATTTCGCAATTCATTGGACTGGCTCTCTCACTCTGCATCTTAGGTCCTCTCTTTTCCTTTTCTTAATTATGATCTGATTTTTACAGTTTTCTTTTCTTTTTTTTTTTTTGAAAATGAATGCTAATTTTTCTTTGAATGCAGATAAGTAAGAGAAAAAGATTAGATTTTTTTTTTTATAAAATTGGGATTTTTGTGTGTGGTTTTTGAGGATCGATGGCTGCACCACCAGCAAGAGCTCGGGCTGATTATGATTACCTCATTAAGCTTCTTTTGATTGGTGATAGTGGTAAGTTTTTTTTTTTTTTTTTGGTTAAAGTAATAATTTTTATTGTTATTACATTGAAAAATGAAACATGGTTATTGAGATTTTTTTTGAATTTTTGTTAGTTTTTGATGGTTTTGATTTATGGGTATTTATGATTTTATTGTGAAAGAGATTAGATGCTACATGGTTTTTGGTCTGAGATATGTTGGCTTTGATTTTAGATTTTTTTTTGGAGCTTTTTCTTTGGTTTTGAAGAAATGCTTTTGTTCAAAAATTGATTTTGGCCATATTAAGTGCTAAATTTCTATCAAAAGTTAGACATGTTGGTGAGTTTAGATTGGGATCATGATGGAGGGGGCTTTGTTTGATTGTAACATAGAAAGTATCATATACTGGGTTAACTAGGGTCTGTTTTTTTGTTGCCTTCTAATCACTGAATGGTAGATTTTTATGAGTAATTTTATGCTAGTTCGCAACTGGGCTATGACCTATGTTAAGACTGAATGGTTTTTGATCATGGGGCTATTTTAGGATTCTACAGCAAATGTTTTAGTTGGCAAGTGTTCTACACCTGCAGAAATTGGCATTAGCTGGACTCTATTGATATACACGTTTCTGGGAGTTTTGGTGGGGTAAAAGTTGGGGGCAGACTTTTGTTGATTTTCTTAACTGTAAAGTCTACCAGATAGAATCTTGATGCTGAGACTTGCTATGGATTATTTGTCATACTGTGGCATATAAAACTTGATGGTGGTTGGAAGCTTTGAAACTTGATCTGATGCAGGGTCAGAAATTGAATTGTTATATTGACAATTTTAGTTGATTTCACGTAAAGAGGCATGCCGTGTATGGGTGGGCTTACAAAGTAAGCTCATGCTTGGGCTTGGATTTGGCACACTCTTCAAAATGAGCTGCAGAGTTAACCTGTAGCCAAGCTAACTCGAATAACCCTCAGCACATTAGCTCATTTTGACCTCTGGTTTGCAGTCTTTCCTAAACACGTAGGGGAAATCATGGATGCTAACATGTATTGAACAGCATGGTTACAGAACTCACCTTCCATCCCCAGCCTAATTTCCTCTATAACGATGAGTATTAACTCTGTATTTCTATTCATGCATTCAGAGATACTTTTCCATCTGAAGATATCTTTAAAGTAAAACTTCAAATGGTTTAAATATGAATTTTAGAGTTTCCTCTGGCTTCAATTTTAATGCAGCATAGCTGTTTCCCTTGGTTCTTCATTTTTTCCCCTTTTCTAGTGGCTGGAATTAATGTGGCCTCATGTCAACCCAAGACAAATGGTTGTATGAATTCCAATATCATAGGCCAATAACATGCTAGGTTTTAGGCACTCAAGCTTCGACTTTTCCTAACTGTGTTTTTCTTATTTGAATTTATGCAGGTGTGGGGAAGAGTTGTCTGCTTTTACGCTTTTCTGATGGTTCCTTTACTACTAGTTTCATAACAACTATTGGGTTTGTATCCCTTGCAACTCTTGAAAATTATATGGTTACATTATTTTGCACTATTTGCATTTCAGTGGTGAAGCATTAGAGGGGCTTAATAACATGACTAACAGGGGAGAATTGAGGATTGTTTGCATCATTTGGTTTCCCTTCCAATGAAAGCGCAATATTGTAGGAATGGAATGGAGCTTACAGTACCATAATCTCAGTTTTTCATTAATCTGTCTGGGACAAACCCTTTGTAATTTGTATTCAATTTTAACATTTGTATATACCCTTCCAGAGGGTGCTTAATGAACTATTTATGGCAAGGGTCCTCAAACCTTCCACTCCACTCACTTCTCTGCCTTATATATTAGTTGGGGCATGTACTTATTGGATACTTTATGATTTAGAAGTTCAATTCAAAACTTTGTTGAATATTTTCCCTAATTGATTGTTCTATTTTCCTCTACAGAATCGATTTTAAGATAAGAACCATTGAGCTTGATGGTAAGAGGATCAAATTACAAATCTGGGATACAGCTGGTCAAGAGCGATTTCGAACTATTACAACTGGTATGTTTAAGCTTGTGCTGGTTGCATTTTTTTCTTTTCAAACTATTGCAACAGAACCATAGAGTTTGATGCTTGACTGTGCTGATGGATCATACTCCTGCAGCTTACTATCGTGGAGCCATGGGGATTTTGCTGGTTTATGATGTTACTGATGAGTCATCTTTCAACAGTAATTTCCCAACTTTCTTAGTTCTGCTTTTGGCATATTGTGAAATTTTTGATTTAGATGGATTGACAAGCCTTTGTTGTTGGATGATTTCCATCATTTCTTTAATGGTGTCCTTCATTGGGTTAGGCAGTGAAATTAGTTTATAGTTGATCATCCTCATCCCTGCTATTGTTGGGGTGGATGGTTTAGGATCTCTCTCTGTTGGAATGGAGTTTCTTGCAGTGGCTTCTACATCTCTTGCGAGTTTTATAGTGCCAGCTTCTGTTCATGTACAGATATTAGGAACTGGATTCGCAATATTGAACAACATGCTTCGGACAATGTCAACAAGATACTGGTTGGAAACAAGGCTGACATGGATGAGAGCAAAAGGGTAAGATTTTCCCATTTGCTTGTTTATAGAAATTTCTTATCTTGTTTATGTTGGTGTGTTAGACTGTGGGTTCATTAATTTGGGAGGCAGCCCTGTCTCTGTTACATGACTTGTATAACTGACTTTGCTTCTTGTAGTCTGTGCACACTCACACTTTAATAAGTGTGACAGAAAGATGAGTTGCAGGCGAATCTATAATTCTTGGCGTTAAAAGGCTAGGTCTCCTTATTTTTCACACATGCACACAAGTTGGACACATTTCAATGGTAATAATTCGAAATCATCTCTTTTCCAGGCTGTGCCAACCTCCAAGGGTCAAGCTCTTGCTGATGAGTATGGTATCAAGTTCTTTGAAACTGTAAGTTGCATGTTTGCCGCTGACTGGATCTTTTCTTTTGTGATGCTGTTAACTATTTTGGGCCAATTGCAAAATAATGTATTCTGCAGAGTGCTAAGACAAATTTGAATGTGGAGGAGGTTTTCTTTTCAATAGCCAGGGACATTAAGCAAAGGCTTGCTGAATCTGATAATAGGGCCGAGGTATTCTCTTATCTACACAACTTTTACTTTTCTTCATTCACCATGAGTAACCTTGTCAATGGCACCTCAAATTCGAAATGATGGATTCCTTGTCCTTGTTTGCGGTTACAGCCCTCGACACTCAAAATTAATCAGCAAGACCCTGCAGCAAGTGGTGGTCAAGCTGCTCAAAAGTCGAGTTGCTGTGGATCGTAAAGGTTATAAAAGTATGCATATTCACCATGGATGGTTCAGCTATTGGCACTCAAAAGTAAAACTAATTTCGATGACATTATTTCTGTTATTTTTTTCACAACTACCAAGCTTAGCTGTTAAAGGCAGTTCCCTATTTTTCACATAATTTGTTGAATTTATAAACATCTGTCTTTACTCTTCTTGAACTTAAGTTACCCCTGTTATGTATTTGTCTTGATGTAGATGGATAATCTGAATTCAAGCATGTTTTCTCTTAGAAGGATAAAAAAGAAGGCGCAGTGCCAGGAGTTCAGTTTTGTATTCATAATTCATGCTCATATACGTGTATGTTGTTTGGTAATGTCTTTATCCAGGTGAGCTCAGAGACCATTGATGCTTAGAACTTACACCTTTTGGTAATAATAAAATATTTCAAATTTTGTTTGATCGTATTCGTTTATTAAGTTTAACAAATAATTATAAATAACAGCATTAATTAAATAAATAGATCATAAATATAAAAAATTTATTCATATTCAATTTGTGAAAACTAATAGCGTTCAACAAATGATTTGTGAACAAATTTGATTTTTTTTTTCATTTGTATTCGTTTATTATGTTTAATAGATGCTTACGAATAATGTTTCATATTCGTTTTCACTTTTACTTTCTATCCAAAGCCAATCTTAGTGGTGCCGATTCCACTACGTGGGAAGTTTATTTAACAATGATAAACTAATATGCGCACTTCATATTTAAAATTAAGAAATTAAAGTATTATTTTTTCTAAACCTGACCCAGCTAAGGTTCAGAAACAAATTTACTTTTTGTCCAAATCAATCTGTTGACTTTTTTTTGGGTAAAAAAAGTAAAAAAAAAAGGCACGTCATCTTGAATGGGTCTGTAGACAATCAAAATTGGGTATAATTCAGACAAGAAAGAAGGTTATGGTTTGAGATTATAGATAATTCAAAATTTTAAATAGAACTTTTGTTAAGGAATGGTGCATGATGGTTTGCTTTTGTTCAAAAACCAAGGTTGATTCGTTACTTTTACAAACAACAAAAGAATCATTGGAAGGATAATTTTAATATATAAATGTTAAATTTGGATCATAAATGTCTAATTTCTTTAAAAAAAAATACTAGGAACTTTAATAATTAAATCGATTATTTTCTAAATCTAACCCTCAAGTTCATAATTCTTCAGAAATAAAAGAAAATTACTATTTCATTACTTTTTCACTAAAATTAAACAAAAAAATTTTCTCCTAAATCTTGAAAAAAAGTTTTTTTTTTTATAATTTTCATTATATATGAGTTTTATTAACTCGTGATTTAAAATATATGTTAAAATCAATTATAGTGAATAATTTTTAATATATTAAAAATATTATTTTATGAAAATTATCATATTTAAGAATAAATAAATTAACATATACTCTATAAAAATTAAAAAAAAGATATAATAATTTTTTAATCTTATTTATTGAGTTAAAAAGTTACGATTATTTATAGAGTTAAAAAATTACGATACATAAATAATGTATGCTTATCGTATATAAGAGTCTTCTTCTTCAAGTATTCCTTAGGAAAATATATATTCCAATTTTCATTTTAAATATTAAATATATATTGCTCCAACATTTTTATTTTTGTTTAAGATTTTATTAAAAAATGGGCATTTTCCAAACTGAAAAAAGGGAAAAATAAAAAGGAAAGTGAAATTTTAGGTCTTTCTAGAAAAAAGAAAATACGAGAAAAAGGAAAGTATAAAATGGAAGAGTCAGACAAAGCTTTTGATCTTAACAAGTTTCGAGCCAACACAACAGTCACCGCCACCCTTTGCCTTAGGCTTTTAATTTTCTCTCCTATTTTCCAATTACCCTTCATTTTCGTCCTTTCCAAACAGTCCTTACCTTTAATTTTCATCCTTTTTCTTCATCTGATTTCTCTATACACTGATTATCTCTTGAGTTTCACAGGTAAATCTGCCTCTTTATTATTAATTTTGGTAGATTTTCTTCTGCTTGATTTTTTGTTGGTTTCTGCTGGATGAATATGCTATAATCAGTCAAAAGATTAACTTTTTTTTTTTTTTTAAATTTTGTTTCCTAAAAAATTTGAATTGATTTGATCTGTTTGAACCAAGTGGAAACGTAGAAAAGTTACATCGAATATGCTTTCGGATTTAATTTCTATTGTTGTAAGCTTGCCAAGAAGTTTTGATTTTTTTCTTGAAATTTTTGTGCATTGGTTAACATTATTACTTTAATAAATTGTTGGCCTTAATTCTCTATTGTTTTAATCGATTATTATCATTCGAGCATTTGTATTCATAACCTTGAATCTACCCTAATTTTATTGGTCATAAATTGAAATTTTCTATTTATTTTCGTGCATTTGAATTATTAAAGTTGTCAGTTTAATGAGAACTGGCTTAAAAATATTAGTGAAATTAGATGCATAAACTTAACAATTTCATGTATTTTCCTGCATTTGAGCTTTAAATGTTGTCAACTTTTAATATATATATATACTGTTTATTAATTTTGATTTGTTTTTGTTAAATATGTTTATAATAGAGGGTAGTTGGTTTTTTATGAAGTTCTGAGTTTGGAGGTACAGTACGCTCTTTGAGAATTGGTGATACATAGAGATTGTTGATTGATAGATATGGGGTGGCTTAGAGCTGGGTCAAGTGTAGCAAAGCTTGCTATTAGGAGGACTTTGTCTCAGGGTGGATCATATGCTGCAAGATCACGCATTGTTCCTTCAGAGAGTCGATATTTTCATACTACTGTTATTAAATCTAAGGCACAGTCTGCACCTGTTCCTCGCCCTGTGCCACTTTCTAAGCTAACTGATAGTTTCTTAGATGGGACCAGTAGTGTGTACTTAGAGGAGCTTCAAAGGGCCTGGGAAGCTGACCCAGATAGTGTTGATGAGTCATGGGACAATTTCTTCAGGAATTTTGTGGGTCAGGCTGCCACATCCCCTGGAATTTCAGGCCAGACCATTCAGGAGAGTATGCGACTGTTATTGCTTGTGAGGGCTTACCAGGTTAATGGTCATATGAAAGCAAAGTTGGATCCCTTGGGTTTAGAGGAAAGAGAAATCCCTGATGATTTGGATCCAGCACTTTATGGTTTTACTGAAGCTGATCTTGATAGAGAATTCTTTTTAGGTGTGTGGAGGATGTCTGGATTTTTATCAGAAAACCGACCAGTGCAAACACTTAGGTCGATTTTGACTCGGCTTGAACAGGCTTACTGTGGAAGCATTGGGTTTGAGTACATGCACATTGCTGACCGTGAGAAGTGCAACTGGCTGAGAGACAAGATTGAAACCCCAACACCAATGCAGTACAATCGCCAGCGGCGTGAAGTCATTCTTGATAGGCTTATATGGAGCACACAGTTTGAAAATTTCTTGGCTACTAAGTGGACAACAGCGAAGAGGTTTGGGCTAGAAGGTGGTGAGACTTTAATTCCTGGAATGAAAGAGATGTTTGACAGAGCTGCAGACCTAGGGGTTGAGAGCATAGTTATTGGAATGCCTCATAGAGGAAGATTGAATGTGCTGGGTAATGTTGTCCGAAAGCCACTTCGTCAAATATTTAGTGAGTTCAGTGGTGGTACAAAGCCTGTGGATGAAGTTGGGCTTTACACAGGAACTGGTGATGTCAAATATCACTTGGGAACTTCGTATGATCGACCGACAAGAGGTGGAAAGAGAATCCACTTGTCTTTAGTTGCAAACCCCAGCCACTTGGAAGCTGTGGACCCAGTTGTTGTTGGAAAAACTAGAGCAAAGCAGTATTACGCCAATGATGTGGATAGGACCAAGAACATGGCTGTTTTGATTCATGGAGATGGCAGCTTTGCTGGGCAGGGTGTAGTCTATGAAACTCTTCATCTTAGTGCACTTCCAAACTACACTACTGGTGGCACTATACATATTGTAGTCAATAACCAAGTGGCATTTACAACTGATCCAAGGGCAGGCAGATCTTCACAGTATTGTACTGATGTTGCCAAAGCCTTGAATGCTCCCATTTTCCATGTAAACGGAGATGATGTTGAGGCAGTTGTCCACGCATGTGAACTTGCAGCTGAGTGGCGCCAAACCTTCCATTCAGATGTGGTGGTTGATTTGGTCTGCTATCGTAGATTTGGGCATAATGAGATCGATGAACCATCATTCACACAGCCAAAGATGTATAAGGTCTGCCAGTCTACTTACCTGTTTGGTTATGTATTTTCACTTTACACGTCTTAGTTGTTCCCGCCCTTAATTTTTTTGTGATTCTATATGCTCCTGAAAAATGACCCAAACTTCACATATTTAGATTCTTTTTGTTTCTAACAGATCATTCGGAATCACCCCTCAGCTCTTCAGATCTACCAAAACAAATTGTTAGAGTCTGGGCAGGTGATAGAGGAAGACATTGGTAACATAAGTCAGAAGGTCAGTTCAATTCTTAATGAAGAATTTTTGGCCAGCAAAGATTATGTTCCCAAAAGAAGGGATTGGCTTTCTGCTTATTGGACGGGATTCAAGTCACCTGAACAACTTTCACGTGTCCGAAACACTGGGTATGGCATCTTTTTCAATTTCAACTTTCTTTTTGGGTAGCTTGATCTGTACTCACTGATGAAACTTTCATGTTATGCAGGGTTAAACCTGAGATATTGAAGAATGTTGGCAAAGCAATTACAACCCTTCCAGATAATTTTAAGCTTCATAGAGCTGTAAAGAAGGTTTATGAACAACGTGCACAAATGATTGAGACGGGGGAGGGCCTTGACTGGGCTATGGGTGAAGCACTTGCATTTGCTACCTTGTTGGTGGAAGGTAACCATGTTAGATTGAGTGGTCAGGATGTTGAAAGGGGTACATTCAGTCATCGGCATTCTGTGATTCATGATCAGGAAACAGGGGAGCAGTACTGCCCTCTGGACCATGTTATCATCAACCAAAATGAGGAGATGTTTACTGTCAGCAATAGGTAACCTTTTCATACTTTGAGATTTTGTAATAGCTAATATTTAAGTCCATTATAATATTTTTTCTCCTATAATGAATGTAAAGAATTTGAGGTTACATGTTAGAGTTGGAAATCCTTTGAGAGGAAGGGAAGCCATCTCTATTATACTTTTCCAAGGTAAAGAAAAAGGAAAAAAAGTAAGAAAAAAAAGGAACTTTATTTGTGTAACGATTTAATATTAAAGTTAATTGGGAGTCTGTTTATATGTGTTTGCTAAAGAATTCTTGTCCTCTAAGTAAACATTGCAAATTAAATATTGATTGTGTTCTGCATCATGGTATAACTTACTGAAAATTGCTCCACTTGACCGCACCTTGTGCTTTGAATGTGCTTTCCATGTGGTTCACAGCATGCAATGACTTCTATGATTTAGCACTTATAAGATATATCTTTCACTGCAAATTTATAGTTTTCTGCTTTATGCAACAAAATCCTTGCTCCTTGTGCGAAGTTTTGTCCCTGCCTGAGAATTGGTAGATTGTGCATGTTAATTTTGTGTAGCAATTGTCATTTTGTTGCTTTTGTTAATTTTAGAATTCTTTTCTGAGCAATATATGGTCTTGAGTGCAGTTCTCTTTCTGAGTTTGGTGTGCTCGGATTCGAATTGGGTTACTCAATGGAAAATCCAAATTCCTTGGTTATGTGGGAAGCTCAGTTTGGTGACTTTGCTAATGGTGCTCAAGTGATCTTCGATCAGTTTATAAGTAGCGGGGAGTCAAAGTGGCTGCGTCAAACTGGTCTGGTTGTGCTGCTTCCTCATGGTTATGATGGACAAGGTCCTGAACATTCCAGTGCACGACTAGAGCGTTATCTTCAGGTATTCCCTATTAAACAACATGCATTGTTCTTCACATCCTTATTTAGATTCTTCATCCTTCTTCTTTTATTTGCATTCAGGCTATGCTCCCTAGCATTTTTTTGTTTACATCAAAAGCGAAAAGAAAAAATGACTTCATGGCACACTGAAAACTACATCTTATAAATTTTTGCAGATGAGTGATGACAATCCTTTTGTGATACCTGAAATGGATACAACTCTTCGCAAGCAAATTCAGGAGTCCAACTGGCAGGTGGTTAATGTTACAACACCTGCTAATTACTTCCATGTTTTGCGGCGTCAGGTCAGTGCAACTAATGGTTATTAACAATGTTTCAGAGTTGAGGCTAGTCTTGCCATTTCCTTTGCTTATCGTTTCTTCTCTCCTCTCTCAGATACACAGGGAATTTCGTAAGCCTCTTATTGTGATTTCCCCCAAAAACTTGCTTCGTCACAAGGACTGCAGATCAAATCTTTCTGAATTTGATGATGTCCAAGGCCACCCTGGTTTTGATAAACAAGGAACTAGATTTAAGCGCCTCATAAAGGATCAGAATATGCACTCTGACCTTGAGAAGGGTATCAGACGCTTGGTACTTTGTTCTGGAAAGGTGTGCTATGCCCTTGGTTTCTGCTTGTTTTCCTCTTGTATCGCTTGTAAAAGCAGTTTAATTCTGGAACTTTATCCGGTAGAGCGAACCAGACTTATAAGGGTTCATAAATTGTGTTATCTTGTTGGGCTACAAGCTTAGTTTTCTAAGCCTACTGAGGAAAATACGTGCTGAATCTTCACTGCAGGCTTAATATTTCTCTGTTGTTTTTTATACAATAATCAATATTCTATCTGGTTTTAGGTTTACTACGAGCTGGATGATGAGCGAAAGAAGAACAATGCTACTGACGTTGCCATATGTCGTGTGGAGCAGCTTTGCCCATTCCCTTATGACCTCATCCAGCGAGAGCTTAAGCGATATCCGAGTACGTACTCCAAACTTAGACTAGGACTTGATCTATAGCACTCATTGAAACTAAAGAAAATGAAAAGCTTTCAGTAGGTTTCTTAAAACTTTTATTCATTTTGGTGCTAATTGTCTGTCCCTCTTTCACTTTATTTATTTAGTAAGCGTTTATTTCTTTCCATGCTTTTTTTTTTTTTCATATTGAGACATGATTTCTGATTTTTATCTTTTGGGGTTACTTCAGACGCAGAGATTGTTTGGTGCCAAGAAGAACCGATGAACATGGGTGCATACAATTACGTCGCACCTCGACTTGCCACATCAATAACTGCTCTGGGTAGAGGAACCTTTGAGGATATCAGATATGTCGGTCGTGCTCCATCTGCTGCCACTGCAACTGGTTTCTATCAGTTTCATGTGAAGGAACAAACCGAGCTCGTGCAAAAGGCCATTCAACCTGAACCCATCAAGTTAAATGTTACGGTGTGAAGCATCTCCAAAAACCAGACTTGAACTTGCAGAATTATACGAATTTCTCAAATAAAATCTGGTGCAGAACTTGAAACTCTGTTAGGGTTTGATGTTTTGACACATTTTTCGCTCATCTCTTTCTGCCAAGGCAACATTGTACCATTGTTGGTGAACCGTTGGTCAAATATTTGATTTGATGCATAATTTTCTTTGTAATTTTTTTTACCTGTCATTATGAACGATGCTTCAGTTTCTTTTATCATGCATAAATTGAACTGCCCGTCTCTTCATTAGGCTTGACTTCTCGGGGCAATTATTGCACAAATTGAGCATTGCCTGGAAATAAGAGAAAAAAAAAAAAAACCAAAGAAAGTAATAGGAAAAGCTATAAACAATTGTTGCGATAAGCTTGTTTGGATGGGTAGGGGAGTGAATGTATTGGGTAATGTTGAAAAATTTTAATCTCTTAAAATATAAAATAAAAATAAATAATGACAGATGTAAAATTTGAGTGACGTAAAAAAAAAAAACCAAGTGCATAAAAGCTAAGTAAATTCATATACAAAAAACCGTAGACCGTAACAGTATTATGGAAAATGCACTACCTGACTGCCAACCCTATACTTATCTCCTTTGAACCGTATATTTCGCAATTTTTCTTTGCATTCTTTAGAAAAAAGAAAAAAAAAAAGAGTTTAACACTCGACTCCTTTTACAATCTTTAAATTATTTTTTAACGTTTGAGTTTGATTTTCTTCTAATTTCTCTTTAACTTTTGATTTTCTTTTGGTCTCCTTCAGTGACCGTGCTGATAGACTTTAATTTTGTTTTTGATTTGTTTTGATGTTCATTGATTGAGGATTAAACCTTGGCAGTACAATCTTAAGCGTCTACTGGCAATTCTTTTTTGATAGCTTGTGTCAAAAGTAATGGCTTGGTTTAGAGCAAGTTTTTGTGTAGGTAGGCTAGCCATCGGAGGAACTCTTTCTCAGGGTGGATCAAATGCAATTAGAAGAAGTATCCTACACAGAATCAATATTTGCATTCAACTGTCTTCAATTCAAAGGTGCAAACTTCACGTGTTCCGCGAGCCGTGCCTCTTTCTATACTAGCTGATAGCTTTCTTTGATGGGTCAAGTAGTGTGTACTTGGAAGAACTTCAAAGAGCTTGAGAAGCTGATCCAAAAAATGTTGATGAATCCTAGTATAATTTCTTCAGGAATTTTGTTGGACAGGCATCAGGGTCGCTTGGAGTTTTGGGTCAAAACATACAAGAGAGCATGCATTTGATGTTGATTGTAAGGGCTTACCAAGTTACTGGTCACCTGAAATCAGATTAGACCTCCTTTGTTTGGAGGAAAGGGAAATTCCTGATGAATTAGACTCTGCATTCTATGGTTTCACAGAAACAGATCTTGATACGGAATTCTTTATAGGCAACCATGTCAGACTCAGTGGCCAGGACGTTGAAAGAGGCACATTTAGTCATCGGCATGCTATCGTTCATGATCAGGAAACAGGAAATAATTATTGCCCTCTAGACCATATCATGGAGAACCAGAATGAAGAGATGTTTACTTTAAGTAACAGGTAGAAGTTTGTTAACCTTTGTATGTATTGTCCATAAACTAGACATATTGCTGATATGTTTTATACTCATATTTTGATTTAACATATTTACTATTACAGTTATATTTCAGCTTGAGGAAGACAATTTTCAGCTAGTGCCATTCTTTCTGTTTATCTATATTCAACTTCTATCCTCCTTAAGTTACTTTTATCTATTTAGGGATCCATATTACTTTGTAAGATCTTTGGCCAAAAAGGGGAAAAATGCAGGATATTCTTTGGTATAAGCCTTTTAAGTACAAGTATAAACTTCATGATATCTCTCAAATATTAACAAGGAATCCCTTGCAAACCTCAAAATGTATTTTGTTTTGATGCTTTAAAGATGCATGATTATCCAAGATTTGCAATTAACTTTTCCAGCAAGGCATCCATCAGTTGTCAGATTGTTTACGTCTCAGATTCAAATGCATTGTACCGCATACTTTGTGTCTTAGGATGCAACTTTGGAATGAATGTTGATCATAGATAAGTTTCAGAGGATAATCTACATTTTTTTAGTACTGCATTGACATAGGTTGCCCTTTGCAGATCCAGTGTTTGAAGTTATTAGAGTGTGTTTCGATTGTTGAATTCCACAGTTCAGACAGAGACGTTGTTGAGTATGTGGCTTGACTTACTCCAGGGTGACTCAAGTCTCGATTGAGCAGTCATTTTTCATAGTCACGGGTCCTGCTTTAGCACTGTTTCACATTTGCAACTGTAGAGGGCGGTTTGTGACCTTCCCATTTTCCAGTGAAACCGGGGACCGAAAGGTCGGTGAGAGATAGCAATAAGATGCATCCATTTCTAGGCTAATTCAGTGTCTTGTGGATGCTATCTATGAGGTAGTGACGACACGCCCCTTGGGGGATCTGTTGGGTCTTTTAAAAAGACTCAATCAAAGGGCACAAACAAATGAAGGGAAAGCCTGCTGTTTTTCTGAGGTTGGTTCATCTCTTCCCTTAAATGGACAACATCCTCTTTTATCAAGCTGGAACTTTAGTTGTTTAGAATGTGCTATATGTGGTCTTTTAATTGAGGAATATATGTCTTGGTGGCAGCTCTCTTTCAGAATTTGGTGTTCTTGGATTTGAACTGGGTTACTCAATGGAAAATCCAGATGCACTTGTTTTTTGGGAGGCACAATTCGGTGATTTTTCTAATGGTGCTCATATTTGATCAGTTTCTAAGCAATGGAGAGTCTAAGTGGCTACGTCAGACAGGGCTTGTAGTACTGCTTCCTCATGGTTACGATGGCCAAGCTCCTGAACATTCAAGCGTGAGACGAGAGTGTTTCCTACAGGTGCCCACCTATCATATCATGGGATATGCATTAACTTTTGTGTTGCAATTGAGTTTTGCGAGTATTTTTTTCTTATTGTTTTTATTATTATTACTCCACAGGATCAGAATAAGATATAGGGTCAGTTTTCTGAATGCGCCTTCTATATTTTTTATGTTATTTTTCAATGTGATCTGGCCCTCATTGGATTCAATCATGTTCATGTTAGGACTATATATCCTTTTGAGCTTGTTGAACACGACTGATTCTTTGGTTTGATCAGTCATGATTGAAGTTTCACACTTCCCAATTTGGAATTCGAGATACAAGACATAACAACACTTTCAAACATTTGTCTTTGTCAGTCATTACCTTACCATTTTGCTTCTAACTTGTGGTAGGAAGATATGTTTTCTCTGGACAATTTGCCTGGCTAAGAAAAACAGTCAATTATTTTTCTTTCAGTTCTAAAAGATTCTAAGATTTAGATGCTTTGCATTTTAATATAATCATTCTGAATCAGCTAAGAATTTCAATGACTATATTTACTATGCCAATGGCAGATGAGTGATGAGAATCCTTATAATATACCTGAAATGGATCCAACACATTGTAAGCAAATACAGATGCAATTGGCCGGTTGCGAATGCTACAACTCCTGCAAATTACTTTCATGTTTTACCATGACAGGTGAGATGAGCACTTCCTCTTGTACAGTTATAAGTCACTTGCTAGTTTGCTCATACACATGGCTTTATTTCTATTTACACAGGGAATTCCGTAAGCCTCTGATTGTAATGTCTCCAAAGAAACCGCTTCGCTACAAGTTCTGCAAATTAAGTTTATCTAAATTTGATGATGTCCAAGGTCATGAAGGCTTTGGCAAACAGGGAACCAGATTCAAACGACTTATAAAAGACCAGAATAACAGTTCTGATCTTGACAAGAGTATCGGGCGCCTGGTTCTTTGTTCTGGAAAGGTATCTTTGCCTTTAAAAAGAGACTTTACTCTTCCCAGTTGATCTAATTTATCATGCATTGTGCTGATTAAAGGAGTGCTAATTTTTTTGTATCTGGTGAAATATGGCAGTTCTTAGCTGCTTGAAAAATTGGTAGTTTTATTTTTGTCTTTGATTCCACTACTAATATCTCTTCGTTGTTTTCTTGATCGTATTGGATACTGAGATTGTCTGATACCAGGAAGAGCCAATGAACATGGGTGCTTATGTCACGAGCTTCGGTCTTAAGCTTAGCAATTGTGTGGCCTTATGCAGGAAACTATCATTCAAGTATGCTTGAGTTAGCCTCTAATAGAGTTGAGTGGGTGTGCACACTAAGAAGGCACTTGGGGAAAGAATACAAAACCTTTTCTATTTCTGAAAAAATGTAACTTATGTACAATTGTGCTTGAATAGCTTGGGTGGCTTATAAAATCACTGGTTCTTATGTGTATTACTAAGGGGAGGGGCACCCCTATTTTTACGTGAGCCCCCATGGCCTATATGATCAATAGAGAGCTAACTGTGTGGCTCTTATATACATTTTAGAAGGTTTCAAGGCCCCTAGCCACATACAACGTCGATTGGGCAATCTCTAGAAGGGAGTTGGTTCCAGGCACTCTGTGGTGCACTGGGTCCAGAAGGTTCCAGAGTGTGACCCATGTCGGCTCCAGAGTACCCATGCCCAGGGCCTTCTAGAGGCTTCCCTGTCTGGGCGCTACAGTGCTTCAATCCGTTTATGCATCTGGCACTTCCAAAGAGTTTTATGCCCGCACCATTGGCCTTGACCTAGGTTTATCTAGAGCTTTTACGTATGGAATGCCCGCACGACCAGGGCTTTCTGGAAGTTCTCCCGCAAAGTCCTTAGGCTCAGCAGCAGGCAACTGTTGCAGGGACTTGTTTTCTCGGCCTGGTGCTTGAGCGTGGGTCTGGGCTTTTGGTGTTGGTGCTCCAGGCTTGGCCTTGGCCTTGGCCTTGTTGCCGCTCCTTTGCACTGCCATGATGGACATAGGTAGGGGATCCCTAAGAGGCATCAAATATGTTGGTAGAGCTCCATCTGCTGCCACAGCCACTGGTTTTCTGAAGATTCACCAAAATGAACATGCTGAGATTCTACACGTTGCCATGCAACGTGAACCAATCAAGTATCCTTACTCGTGCCATTCTAAGCCTGTCGGAAACCATTCCAATATAAGGGCCTCATTTCAGGATAAAGTTCAAAAATCCAAAAAAGGGTATCTTCTCCAGATTTTTAGAAGTTTTATTCTCTTATTCAAATCATATTCAGCAATAAACCGATATTTGTATTTGACAGTTCTTGCTTTATGTTAAATTATGTCAAGAGTCTGATACTACTGACCTCCAATATGTTGATCATTGTAATATGTGTTAGAAAATTTCCTCCATTTTCCCCTTATCTGGTTTATATTTTCATCTTTTTTGACTGATGCTTGTATCTATGCTTTCTCAATGACTGATGCAAATGACTGCCAGGTGGTAGGCAGGTTGATTTGTCAATTGTGGTCAATTATTTTTGGGCTAACAGTCTGTAGCAGCAAAATGCTAATTCTTCCAACTTAAAAGAAGATATGAAATATTGAACCTGAATTTAGTGAATCTGAATATTTCTTGACCCAAACTTGATTTTAGTTATTCATATGAAAACTAGAAAATGTTCAGCTCTTCTTTTTTCAGAGAGAAAACAAATATTATATCAAATTATCTCTTACTAAAAGAATAATCGCAAACTATCTCTTATAATATATGCAATTAATAATTAATTAATTATAGTAAGCTGTTTAATCCTATCTATTCCCCATCTGGTGCTAAGAATTGCCATGAATTAGTCAAGGTGGCCTATGCATTCCTTGCAAGGATTTGTATCTTGCCTTTGTAATATAACAAGTTAGCTTAGTGGTACTAGAGTGGGCTTTAGAGCTAAAGGTCTCGAGTTCGAACCTAATAATAAAAAAAAAAAAAAATAGTTGCAGAGCCTGAAAAGAAAAGGATCCATGCTTAGTTGCTGATTTTATTGAAAAGAAGTTAAGAACTAAAATGGGATAAATAGATTTAGAGCTATGAAATAGTAAGTCATAATCCACTAGATTTCAAATGCATGCATTTGTTGAAATAGCTACTCTTTCCAATGGCTTCTTTCACTTATTGAGTTCTTTGGACAATCTAATTTGGAGGTAACCCAACATATAGCTGATTAATTAAATATAGTCCAATGCATTTAAGTACACGTGGAAAATTATGTTATTTGCCGATTTGTCTTTGAATCCGAAATAGTTTAGTTGGTTCATGTAATCACATTTAAAAGTGACATCCAATAAATTTAAAATTTAAATATGATAATTAGATCAATTGATATATCATTGAAGTTGATATTTAAAAGTTATAAATTCGAGAAAACTTATGTATTTAATATCTTTTTCAACTAGGTAAGTAATAAGGTAAGGATTTAAAGATAAATTAAAAACTTAAAAAAAAAAAAATTCTAATACCTGTAACTTCTTCCTCTATAATGTGGCCTCATTTGTAAAAAAAATACACATGGAATAGTCAAATTGTTTTCTTCAACTAATTAAAGAGACAAACCAAATTGTTTTCTTCTACTTAATTTAGATGATGATGCAAATGATAATTCATAAAGAAAACTAGCATCCTTATGGCGTTATTCCTTTTTGGTTTGATCTCCATTGCTCCAACACATGATGATGCACAAATTTGCAATAGCAAAATTAAAGAAAAAAAAAGAAAAGAAAAAGAAAAAGTCCAAGAGTTTCCCTTTCTCTCTAAACTATGGGCAAAGAATACGTGGGTAATTAGTGCCTGATAGTGCATCAGATATGCAAAATGTTAAAGGCAAATCAGAGCCTGGAATGAGCTAGTGAAAGTATGAGATGGATTGCATTTTGGTTGACAAAAACTTAGTTTAATAGCAAAACATGCCATCAAATCTATTTATCTTCAAAAAGCTGAAATCAAAGGCCAAACTGAAAGCTTTTCTCCACCTTTCATGCTTTAATTTAGAGCCATACATTTCCTCCACCTAATCAGCATTTGAGGCCAAGAGAAATGCTTCTTTTTATATGTAAATGTCTTGAATTTAAACCTCATTGGCTGAAGTTTGATAAATCAAGAAAACTTCACTTAATACTTCAGGATCTGTTTTAGTCCTTTTTTTTTTTTTGTTTCCCAACACATTCTGTTTTATTTGTTTGGAACTATGAACCAACTTGGTCATCCCACCAAGTTAAAAGTTTCAAATTAAGATGTTATTAATTAATTTACTTCTAATTGTGGAGTTGTAGCTATCAAAACTATGTCTATAGCTGAATAAAGAATTGGAAGTGAGAAGCTTAGTCATGACAATAAAAAAAGTTGATGTCAAATGTAATCTGATTAGGATGCCAAAGCCCGTAAGGATACCTCCTGAAAAATTAATTAAAATTGATTGATAGGATGTTAATTTTTCCTAATTTGAAATAAAAAATATATATTAGCATCTTTTTTTTTATTTTATTTTAAGTCCACTACGGTTAAATTTAAAGTTGTTTCACTTGACGTGTTAAAATCAATAAATTTAGTTCAATTGAGATTTTATCATTTTAAGAATTACTCTGTGAGTAGATCTGTTCAAAGATTGGAATATTCATCCAAATCTAAAGATTCGCTCAAATTTTGAGAGGATTTAAATAAAAATTAAAAATTATTAAATGAGTTTGGACACAATTTTTAAACTCATTTAAATTTCGGGTTAGATCTTAGACAAAAAATTTAAAATCCGAACCCATCTCGGTCTAGTTTAAATTCACATATATAATTTTTTTTATTTTATATATATTTGAGTTATATATAAATTAATTCACATATAAATAAAAATTAAAAAATATATATTTTATTAAGATAAGTAATTTTTATTTTTAATTTATGTATATAATTTTTATTTATATATATGTGTATGAATTGAATATAATCTCATTAAATTTAATTAAATAATATTTTAAAAATTTTTATTATATAAATTAAGTTTAATGGGTGAATTTTAGATTTATCTTTTTAATTTGGATCGAGCTTAATAAAATTTTGAGATCTGAAATATTAGATTAAATTGAACCTAAATAAGTATATAAATTATTAATACTAAATATGAGCCTAGCCAGAATTCAACTTGACTCGTCCCATAAACACTGTGAGTAAAATCTTGATTCAATCAAAATGATGTGGTGGATTGTGTCCAAAAGAAATTAGAATTAGGAAATGTTTAAGGACATTGTATTACAAAAAAAAAAAAAATCAATGAGCTTTAGGCTTATTTAGTAGTAAATACTTTAAATTTGGATAATAAATGATAAGGAATTGGAGAAATAATTTAACAAAATTTCTTAGAAATTGAAGCTCATAACAAAAATTATTAAAAGTTTTTTTTTTAAAAAAAAAATTAAATCTTCTGTTGTACTCAAGTGAGATCAAAGATGAAAGAAAGTTACTTTATTAAGTAATCTAGAAATGAATGAATTAAAAATATTAAATATAATGTATCAAAATCCAACTTTTGATTCACATGAAGTATTATTTATTTTGACATTGAATTAACCAATTTATCTTTCAAAAGATACCTTCTCACATGGGAGGGTTGGCCTATATTGAACCATTGGCCTATACTCAATGTGTTATATATTCATATTTGCCTTCCTTACATCACCAAAATAACATTGAATCATCCACCAAAGAAAATGCTAAAAACCAACGTCTATAAAAAGGAAATGAAGCATGAACAAAATTTTCTTCTCTAAAGAATAAGTATAAATGACTCAAAACCTTGTAAAAACTTTGTTTGGACTCAACAGTGTTTCGTATGAGCAAATCCCACTAAAGTTTGCTTTTAGTAGCCAAATTTTTTATGGTTGATATTTTATATGCAAAAGGACTGCTGGGTTTTTTTTATGTTTTTAGTGACAATGAGAGGTTTTCATAAATGGTAATTTCAGTTCATTTTAGTGGAGTCCCTAGATTTTGATACAAGAGGTGCTGAGATTTACAATTTTTCGTACATGAAAAATAATCTATATATAAGCAATCAATTGTGCTTCATTTCTACACCAAAAAAGAACCTCTATAGAAGAAAATAGAGAAACTTGAAGAAACAAAACGTTGTCAATGGATTCTTTGGCTAGCATTTTCAATCAAGCTAAGCCATTTTTGGCTGTAATCTTTTTGCAGTTTGGGTATGCAGGCATGTGTATAATTTCTAAGTTTGCTTTAAACCAAGGCATGAGCCAGCATGTCTTGGTAGTCTACCGGCATGCCATTGCCACTCTTGTCATTGCTCCTTTTGCCATTGTTTTGGATAGGTCTATTTCTCTCTCTCTCACTCTTCCAAGTATAATTGAGTTTTTGCATCTTGGTTAAGTCTACATCTTCAAGAACTAACCATTTTGGCTAATTATAACATTACAGGAAAGTAAGGCCAAAAATGAACCTGTCTATCTTTGTTAAGATACTGTTACTAGGCTTATTAGAGTAAGTAAAAGTTTTATTTTCTTAATCTTATATTTCTATTTATTTTTCCTATAATAGAATATTAAACTTTGTTCTTCAGGCCAACAATTGACCAGAACTTGTACTACACTGGAATGAAGTATACTACAGCAACCTTTGCATCTGCCATGTGCAATGTTCTTCCCGCATTTGCATTTATGATGGCCTGGGTCTTCAAGTAATTAACTTCTAGGCACCCTCATATGTATAAATTTGGTATTTTGAGGATGATTTAGGCAGTGGATTGACCCTGGAGAACTTTTTGCAGGCTTGAGAAGGTTAATATCAGAAAATTACATAGTCAGGCAAAGGTATTGGGGACTATTGTGACTGTTGGGGGAGCAATGCTAATGACTCTGATTAATGGACCAATGTTGCCTTTGCCATGGATAAAATCAAATAGCCAACATGAGTTTTCAATTGCTGCAGCTCATCAAGATCCTATAAAAGGTTCTCTCATGATCACCATAGGCTGTATCTGCTGGGCAAGTTTCGTCATTCTACAAGTAAGTTTTCTCATTAATTGACATTTTGTTCATGTACATTCACATTCATTTTCTCTGTTATTTCCATTTAAAGCATCCATTTCAATTGACAAAGACGTAATGTTTTCTTTGATAGGCAATTACGCTAAAATCATACCCTGCTGAGCTCTCCCTAACAGCGTTAATCTGCTTTGTGGGCACCATTGGAGGAAGCATAGTAGCTCTAGCAATGGAAGCTGGCAATGCTACAGTCTGGTCTATACATTTGGATGTTAAGCTCTTAGCTGCAGCTTACGGTGTAAGAAATTCTCAATTCAACCGAAAAAAAAACTCAATGAACAAACTAAAAGGCGTTGGATTAGGAGGCTTTCCATGCTAGAATTGGCTATGATTATTTACAAATCTTCTGTCTGCTTGCAGGGAGTGATCTGTTCTGGAATTACTTATTATGTTCAAGGAGTGACAATGAAAACTAGAGGACCTGTTTTTGTGACTGCTTTTAATCCTCTAAGCATGGTTATTGTTGCAATTTTGAGCACCTTCGTCTTATCTGAAATACTGTACTTAGGAAGGTACATAATCCTTTGAATTCTGCCATAGAAAATGCTGAAAATCTTCATAAGTTTACAATTATGTGCTAATCTTTATAGGGTCATTGGAGCAATTGTAATTGTCATTGGCCTCTATCTGGTTTTGTGGGGTAAGAGCAAGGATCAACCTTCATCAAATCATAACATCAAAATGGAAGTATCAAATGATCAGAAAATGACTGTCATGGATGAGAAAACAATAGTTTCAATTCAAGATTGTGTTGTCCTGGATTTAACCTGCAGCAAAGTGACACCTACTGATGAGTCTGTTTGAGGAACCGAATCGAATACGAAAATCACAGCAAATAACTGCTAATTAAGGATCTGATCAGTTTTTTTTTCTACATAAAACTAGTTTCATGCAATCTGAGCTCCTTCAGAATGTGTTTCTTCTTTTTTGTTAGTTTCAATAGAGTGTTAAAGAGATTAAGCTAATGAATGGCTATGGAAAATGAAACATCAGTCTTGGGATCTATATTGGCCTGGATTGATTCTTCTTTTGTATGTATTATGACTTTAAATCAGGAATTTGAGTCAAACGTCAAAATAAATTCTTGCAAAATGCCAAAACGTTCATCATAAGGTATCGTTGGTTGCATTTGACTTCTGAAAGTGGAATGATACCCATCTAATTATATCCAAGTTAAGAGAAAATCAATAGTCAACCTAGGCAATTTTAAACACTATATATAATAAAAAAAAACCGACATAATTTAAAATTTTAATAAAAATTATATATAAACTTGAAAACAAATTAAAAAAATGTATTTATATTTAACATGTCAACATAAATTATAACACAATAATTTTTTTGTTTTATATGTGTTTTATATGAAATAAATAAATTATCATGTCTGAGTCGAAAAATACTGAGCACCTTCTCATACCACAAAAAATGGTTGTAAATGAGATTTGATTGGGATAGTAAGAATTGTGGGAGACATCCTGTATACTACTAAAGCATAAAATTGATTGACGGGAAATTCATTTTTTTACGAGAAAGAACACTTTACATGCACATGATTTTCCTTTTTTTTCCCTTGGGCACTTTAATTTTTTTGGATGAAGGATTACTAATGATCAGTACTAATTTTTTTTTTTTTACCAAAAAGTTTTTAATCTCAACTGTGAACTTTAAATTAAAAAAAAAAAAAAAAACAGAAGCAGAGATGGGTTAGATTTCTGGTTCCCAGCCTTAAGCAAAGCAATTAGAAAGTGACTTTTAAAAAAAAAAAAGCTTAAAATTCTCAATTTTTTAAAGCTTTGAGAGTGGTATGAGATTTATGAAAGAAATAAGACTTTAAGTGCAAAGAGAGAGATAGAATGCAAATTCTAAATAAAACTGTTGTGTTGGGTTCTTGGTCATTCCCAATTGGTTTTCATTATCATTTATCATTATATATTTTTTTTTGGAAATTTTAATCAATTCTCAAACCCTTTAGTCTTATATTTATCTAGTTCAAAAAATATTACATGTATAAATTTTTTCGAATCTATAATCTTTAAATGTCGACTAATCCAAAAGGCAATGGATATCATTAATAACTTTATTAATTACAAAAAATTGTGCCTTATTACATTCAAGGATAAAAATCTATAAATAGCATAAAAGAAAAACATAATTACATTCTTAATTCTTATATTACTAAAAAAATTCAATACTTATTGTTACGTGGGGTTTAGCCCCCTGCATGGCCAATTAAAAGGTTCAAAACTTTTTTACTTTTAACCTAAAATAAAGTCCTAGATAATTAAAGAGAGGTGGGGACTGTTTAGGTGAGAATAGTATTACGTTGAAACTAAAAGGAAAAGAAATAAAAAAAGATAGAGAGAAAAAGATAAAAGAGAGTTGTCAGTTAGACAAAAGTTGATTCAAAATTTGATTAAATTAAAATTTTATTAGTAGGTTTACAATTCAGTATTTTATATATTGAATAGTGGAGATCATATTTAAAACTCTCAAGGAATAAATTTATGATGTATTTATTGAGTCACTTATTTGTGAGATTTTTTTAATTATCTTTCTAATTGTTAATTAACTCTAATTTTAGAAAGAATAAAACTTTGTTTATCAATTATTTTATAGTAAAAATTTTTCTGGTGATCCATGATTTTTTTCTCTCTGTACTAGAGGGTTTTTTCACATAAACCTTTGTGTGTTTTACTTTTACTATGTTGTTGATTGTTGATTGTTGATTGTTGTTTATTGCTATAGATTTATTGCAATATATTACTTATATATTATTATGTTTGTTGCTTCAGACTCAATAAGTGATATTAGAGCTATGGTTATTTTTGAGACATCGACACAGAAGTAACTCATAACAGAAATAAATTTTATTTGAGATCATGGAGGGTAATACAAGTTTTATGATAAAATTAATAATATTAAATTATTCAATTTAAAAACCAATGATGGAAGATCATTTATACTGCAAAAACTTGTATAAGCTGGTATTGGGTGATTTGACTAAATCAATAGATATGAAAAATGAAAGCTAGAATAAATTAAGTAGAAAAATACTGGCCACAATTAGAAAATGAGTTGATATCATCGTGTTTTATCATGTAAATAAGAGATGGATGCCCACACCGTTTGAAAAAAAAATGAGAGTATTATATGAGAGAAAAACAGGCATGAATAAAGTTATGTTTGTTAAAAACTTGTAACTTTACAGTACAAGGATAGACGATGGATTACGAAGCACTTGAGTGATTTTTAAGATATATTCAATCGGAATGACTACTATGGAGCTTAAAATGGATGATGAAATGAAGGCATTATTTTTTTTTGGGTTTATTGCTAGACAGCTGGAATACTTTAGTTGTAATTGTTCTTAATGCAGTTCCTAATTACAAAGTGATATTAGAGATAGTAAATGACAGTATGTTTAATAAAGAAGTAAGGCGAAAAGATTCAGACTCTGGAAATCAAGATTTTGTCATAGAGAATAGGAGTAGGAACATCGATAGAGGTCAAAACTCAAAAAGTTATAGTAAGTCTAAACATAGATCAAAGTTGAGAGATAAAGTAAAGTGTTATCATTGTGGTAAACCTGGTCATATAAAGTGATACTGTAAAATCTCAAAGTAAAAGTGAAAAGATAAGAAAGGTAAGAGTTCAGATTATGGCAATATTGTAGCAGCAAGTTCAAATAGTGATTCAGTTACTTTGATTTATTACATGGCTATTGTAATCATGTTGGTGATCCTAGTGTTGAGTGGATAGTTGACACAGGAATATTATATCATTATATTCCTAAAAAGGGAGTTGTTTACAACTTATAACACAGAAGACTTTGGTTACAGTAAGATGAAAAACAAGTGTGTCATAGATTATTAGGATTAGTGATATTGTTGTACAAACTAGCACGGGCTACATATTGACTTTGAAGGATGTTAGACATATTTCGGATATGAGAATGAACTTGCTTATGATTAATGTCCTTGATAAGGAAGGATATAAGAGTCGACAAAAAAATGGGTGTCATAACTTATATATCTATAAATCTATAATTAGACTTAACAAGAGAAGTCACCACCAATCTTTTATTAAGGTGTGAATGGCAACCTAATAAATCTATCCTTTTAAGAAATTCCTAAGCTTGACTAAGGGTCCATAAATAATAGGTTCTAACCTTCTGAACAAAACTAGGATTGAGAGTTCAATTATGTGTGAGAAAAGTTATAGCAACTCCACAACGTCCATCCTAAGATGGTACCATTTAACTTTAAATTATCTTAACAATTATCTTGGTTTTAATGGTTTTTATTTTAATGTTTAAATATTGAAAATGACTTCTAAGATTTCTCCATCAATCTGGTAGAATTCTTAAAAATATTTTCTTACCTTAAGAGTATTCAAGAATCCTATTTATTTTCTTGAAGAGGCTCCATCGTTATAAAGCTTAATCAAATTTTTTATTTTTTATTTTATTGAAAATATATCTAATTCTTCCACCATTTGGGTTAAAATTAGAAATATTTTCTCACTTAAAATTTTTTTTAGATAATCATCTATTTGTGATTATTAAGAATTTTATCTTTAGAATTTATTTTTATTTTTATTTTACAAGTTTTATTTCTAAATTTTTCATAATTTTGTTCTATTTAGAAATTTTTTTTATCTATTTTTGAATTTTTCATCATTTGAGTCTATTTAGAATTTAAACTCTTGTTAATTTCTTAATCTTTTGAGAAGAAAATAATATGACAATTATTTTTTAGTTTTATTTAAATTTTTTCACTATTTGGGATGAATTTAGAAAAAACCTTTCACTTAGAAATCTTATGAAAATTCAATAGTTTGAGATTTTTCTTAATATTTCATCCTTGAATAATTGCCAAATATTTTCACCCAAATTTTAATTTACATTTTAATTTTTAATTTTTTATTTGGGAAAGATTACAATCATTTTCATTAAAATTTCATTTAAATTATTCCACTATTTGAGTTAAATTTAGAGAAAATTTTACCTAGAGATTTCTTAAAAAATTTTACCATTTGAAATTTCTGATAATCTTATCATTGGATAAATTTTAATTCAATCCCAAAATTTTATTAAACTTATTTATGTTTTATGTTTTATATTTTTTATAATTATTCTTTCTAAAATAACTTTCTCTAATTCTCCTAAAAAATTTAATCATGTAAGACATTTCAAAAATAAATAAAAGATCAAAATAAGTAAATAAATAAACTAAAAATAAATAATAAATAAAAATGAAAAGAAAATACCAAAAACAGGAAATCGGCTTGGCTTGGCTTGGTATCACAGCTCGGCTGTAGGCACAAGAGCTGGCTCAAGAGACGTGGCTTGGCTTGACTTGGCTTCACTTCACGACTCAGCAGCAGGAGCTGGATATCGGGTTAGGCGAAACAAAATGGGTCAGGTACAACAAAACAAACGGATCTTGCGTGCTTGTTTAAGGGTAAAACAACGTCGTTTAATCTAGGTATAAAGCTCAAAATTTTGTTATCTCCCTCAGATTCTCATTTGCTCTATCTTTACCTTATTTTTTTCTCTCGCTTTCTCTCTACAAAGAGTTTACCAAAAAATTCAAGAACCAAGAACACAGTCACCATGTTCTTCAAATTTCCAAAATCCGGCGGTGCCCCGCCGTTGTTGCAACCACTCACTTAGTCATCGTCGACCACCATTCACTGCACCAATTAGCTTTCAAACTTCACCAAATAGTTCACTTTTACTCTTCGTGTTGGATTTGGGCTCGAATTTTCGTGAATCCTCTTCAATAGCCTTGGATCTGGAGCTACAAGCTGTGGCTTTTTCCATTGTCTCAGCCCCTTTCCATCATCCGATCAAGCTAATTTTTGAATGTGTTGCTCACTGTCTTTTGTTCTCCCTTTCTACCATTTCAATTTCCAATAACATCTCCACCATGGACCGTTGCTGGCATTGCCACTGTAGGGAGAAGCATTTCTGCAAACTTTATAATTTTTGTGTTTTTTGAGATTGTTATTGGTGTCTGACTCATTTTTTTAATTGTTTTTTCCTAACTTGGGTTTTGAATTTCTAATTGTGTTGCCCTTATTAATTCCCAAATTGAGATT